ATATAGTTTATATAGGGAAATAACACTTTTCGGTATATATTTTATCCATTTTCAGCAGAAAATTGCTCAAACTTAGTCAGAATCATCTTGGGTAAATGAGAGTTTTACTTTGTAAAATTAGGATTCCTGCCCCATCCCCAGGGGCTAGGGCAGGGCCCCAAAGGGAACATTTACCAATATTTTCAAATTCTTATCCATTGATGACATGACAAGTATTGTATTTCAGTTAGTTGACATGCTGGTTTCCACATCACATCTAAACAATAAAATAAAGCTACCAGTACCAATGATATAACTCAGGTGACCGCTAAGGCCCTTGATTTCAATCTGGTGTTGCATTTGTGGAAGAGGAATTTAAAAAAGATCAGCAGTTTATTTTCGTTTTCATTGTATTGTTAATATTTGTATTTTGTAATACTTGAGTAATTATTAAACTTTTATATGATACCTTTCTTTTGGAATTTTCTCGTTTTTATTGCCTTGTAAATATTAAAGTTTGTCTGTTTAAAAGCAGAAGGAAGTATTAACTTGTTGAAATCTTATTACTGTTATTCACCAAGTCTGCTGTTTTACAAAGTCTAAAATTTTCACTTATTCAATATGCAGTTAATTTGGTCCAGAAAGTTAAAATCTGATAGAAACTGCTGGCCGAAAATCTGGCATAGATAATAACAAAGTGTTTTATTTCATTTATGATTTAATAACATCCACATGTTTGATCATCATTCTCCTACATCCGGAAAACAAAGAATAAAACTATTTATCAAAATTATTTGACACTTCCAACATGGTGATATTTTGGGTATGTGATGTAGAAACACATATTCATTTGCTCATGTCATGTCTTCACTTGACATAATTTTGCTCATCCACACCTGGTTCTTGAAGAAAATATCTGTAGAACAAACTACCGTTTCCCATCCATACAACTGGAACCATAATTCCACCAGTCAGCATCTTCCAAATACTGGGTAGATACAAAAGTATTGTGAATGAGGGGAAAATTCCAAAGTATCATTCCTCCGTATAAACAACAAAATTATTTAAATTCATGATGACATTAAAACAGTATTTCTGAACATACTTTGATTTAACTTTATAGCATTGATAATCGAAATAAAAGCTGACTGGACTAAATCTGTCCGATACATTTCCTGATTAGTGACCAGCTGTCACAACACAGTAACTGAAGATATAAAATCACAAACATTCATTATTGTATTGCACTTGAAAATTACGGATCCAACCAGGGCCATAAAATGTCAATAAACACTTGTGCTGCCTGACAGAGATTAGCAAATAATGCCGGGTGTGATTGTACAAAAATCAGCTCCATTTTTCAGGTTATTCTCTCAATAAGTAGTTTGAATACTATTTGGAATTTCCCAAAATACATTGTGTGTATTAATATGTTCACACTCTCAACACAGTATCCTGGCCATTAGTCTTCTGTACTTGTGGCATTGATCCAAGGAATAATTATGTAAATCAAAAATTAATCACCGATATATCGCAGAAATTATTAAACAATAATATTCTATTTGAACAGTTGTTTCTTCAGGAAACTTCCCTTGTTGCATAAGTATGTTTGATTAATCCTTTGTAAGGAATATTGTTTGATTATCCTGCACATGTAAAGAACAGAATTCCATTAAGTCGAATAATAATTTTGAAGTTGATGCTATTCTTCCTTCAGTCTCTTCGGACTTTTGTTCTTGTTTTTCGTACTTTTTCTTCCTCCTTCGCACTTTCTGATCCATTTGTTCCCAAAAGCTCGCGGACGAACTTGAAGCGAGACAAAAAGAGTTTCCACACTATGAACCAACCTGTCAAGTAAATAATCACATATGAAGCAAGGACAATACATTATTTTACTGCATTAAGTTTTATTGTTGGTCTCGATACTGTAAATACTTGTGTAACAGGAAAGAGGGTGCTGCCCAGTATGCCGCTGTACTGACTGAGCTAAAGAGAAATTCCCTCTAGCTTCAAGCTAAAAGGCAACTGTAATCCTATGGACAATTTAAATCTGCCACACTACTCCCCGTTTTTAAATGTGTTCACCACTGAGCTGAGCACAACAACAAGCCATGTTCCAATTCCTATAACCATCGGTAGGGCCATGGACACTAAGTAGTGTGCTAACCAAGCCTCCCAAACGAAGTGCAAAATTATTTTGATTTGTAATATGAACTCTTAAAGTTTTCAAATCCACACCAGACCGTATCATATATAATCTACTCAGAAGGTGGAAATAATCAAACATTGGCAATAGAACAGTTGTCTACCATATTTCGGTTTACCGACGCAATACCACTGTTAAACGCTGCCTTTAGCTGTTTTGCAATCAGTTAATCTCTAACTTACCACAGTAAAACAATTTAACACATACAATTATTTACTCTGCCATAAGCAATGTTAAGTTATGAAAAAAATTATCAGAAACTGCCATCACTTTCCTTGGCGTCTTTGTTCTTTTTGAACAGGTGCGCTTTTATAAAGTTGTAAACTCATATTTTAGCTGTAACGTTTGTCACATTAAAAAGATCTTACCTAAAGCGATAAATAAGATCACAAATAACAGCGATATTATCAGTGACAGTACGGACAAAGCGATCTCTTTCATGGTCACATCAGCTGTTATTGCCTGCAGACAGCTAAAATTATAACAGAACCGCACTAAATAAGGATACTGTAAAATTAGAAACGAAAATGGAAACGAATCCCGTCAACCCGGATTAATAAAAAAACTGCTCAGTTAGACATGGTGCGTCGTCCGTCTGTCGTCAACTTTTTAAACTTAAGGCACCCCGTCCCTCCGCCTAAAAATGTAATGAGGCATTGTTTTTTTCTTAAAATAATAGCCCATACCTTGCGCGAGTTTCTTAAAGGAGCTGGTCGGGGGAAAAAATACAAAATAAATGGGTCTAAATGCGTTCTCTGGCCTTCCAAAAGTTATACCATGGCATTATGATGGCCGAGTTCTGCTTGCAATGTCCATTTTTGACCACTGAATTCTCGGGGAAGCACCTGCGTAAATTTAGCGCAGATCTATTTATATATGTCACGTGGTTGTTTCGAAAGTGAGGCAGTGAAGATAACATATGCCATGTCGGACTCAACTAGCGGACAAGACAGCAATACCATACGTAAATAATTGTTTTCAAAGGTCATGTATGATGCAAGTGTAGTAGTCCTACCTATATGTTGTTATATGTAACGGTATTGATACCTCGTGCACGTGCCTGTCATGACTTTTGCATGCATCTTTTTTTCCCCGCGATGTTTACATTTGGCCCAATCTGATTAAAATCATCTAGTTACATGGCCTCGCGTAGTACGAAGTTAACGAAGCCATGTAACATATGATTTTAATCATTGAATGGGGGTTCCATGTGATGACGCGCGTGCGGTAAAATTACATCACTGATCTGGGTCAATTGAGAGTTTTAGACTGTCAGGTGACGATTTAGGATTTCTTTAAAGGGGCATCACGGTGAAGTAACTTTCTTTTTTGTCTTTTTTTTCAAATACTACATAAACATATCAAGTGAGACTCCTTATGGAAAATAACGATCGGATTTGGCTGAAATAGATTCATAAAAATGATTAAATCAAAGAAAATCATCGGTATTTCTACCTGTCTGACCAACGTTTTGTTCAGGGATTTCCCTCTACTAGCGCATGCGCATAGCACACCATTTCTTTGTAAACAAAATGACTGGCCGTGTGAAGTAAGC